ATTTATGTAGAGATACTGCTTGCAAACCAATGATGGTAAGATGATGTCATGGGGTAGGACTGGATAAGTCTGACTTCTTCCTACTCCATTCAAGCATGTACTAGGTATAAGCAAATTGATATTGGATTATGTGTAAAATTATGTGTTGTCATATCAACTGTTTTACATGCTTGAAAGAATAAATCAAATCAAATCAATCAAAGATCACAGCATCGCACATGTCGTCTTGCATGAATTTTACTAAGCTTTCTAAGAAACTTCATTAGAGCATGAGCCAGATTCACACAGCTTTTTTTTTCAACTCTCAGATCTTTTAGCATTGCTGTTGTTACAGTTTTTTTTACATCCTTGTTTCATGGTGATGCACTGTAGTTCTGTCATAGTTCATAGCATCTGAGTATTTTGTTATAAAGCAGTATTTTCACCTGAAATACTCCTCTTTCTGTTCCAGTGATGAGTTGCGGGAGGCCTGGAGGCTCTTCACCCCCCTCCTCCACTATCTAGAGCGAGAGAAGACACAACCCATCCCATACACATATGGAAGGTGTACATTTGTTTTATGAGATGGAAATAAATGAATGATGCATATTTTCCTTTTTAATGATTTTACCTCCTCCTGTCCTTTATTTGTTGTGTCTATAGCCGTGGTCCAAATGAGGCAGATGATCTCATGAAGAGGGTGGGATTCCGACATGAGGGAACATACAAGTGGGTTCAGCCCCACACGGCATGCCTTCTGTCACACTCATGAACATGTTGACACCATCATAAAAGTTGGCAAAGCCCTGCAGTGTTTCACTGCTCTACCAGTTTGTCTACACTGCTGTTTTTCCTAACCACACAAGAATTGTCAAACAAAACTGTAACCGCCTGATTTGAGAGTTCCATCTGTTAAGTTTGATATTTCTAAATAAATCAATATACATTGTTTGACTGCACTTTTTTCAGTTTTGTTCAGACCTAACACCTATGGTGTCATATGAGGCTTTGTGGAGCACAAAAATCTACCTGACCGATTTCTGTCAGATCAAGTGACCTATATTTCAGAAAGTGTTTGACTGTGATGGTCTAGTGCATAAGAACAGGTGGCACTCTTAATAAGACTCAGTCAACAGCTGAATGACTTTTTACAATTCCAGTTTACAGAATGGTACTTTATTTTTTGATTTCTTTCAGCTGCCTCCAGCAGACTGCACACGTATCTTGTCAGCTACGTCTGTCTCTACCAGGCGTGCAGCCTAGCTGGAAACACAGATACATACATTTAAACACATACACTCTGACCAGTACCAGACTGTTCAACAACTGTTGCAATACTCGCAGAGCTGTGTACCAAAGACAAACATTTGTTTAAAACACTTTCTTCTCTGGGAAGTGTGTATTTATTCTTTCACATGTTAGATGTTTACATACAGTAAATGTTAACAGTAGACAGCTGTGCTGACGCTAAAATTAGTGGATATTTCTAAAAATGTCATAGGGTTCTTTTGTTCCTACTGTAAAATTGCCCAACAAAAGGAAGCTGTTACTGCTTTCAGTTCAAAGATAAACTGCACTGCAGAACTAATGTTAACAAAGCGTAAAAGAGGTCGTCAGTTTTTTGTTTTTTTTATTGTATCAAGATGCTTTTTGTTGACATTAATTTGCCATGATTACATTTTCTAGAAGCTCAAGTGAACTTAATAAAATATACAGACCAAAAACGGCATACACACTATTGGGTTAAATGGGTTGTTTTGTGCACAAACAAATGTTTTTACAGAGCAGTATTCAACAAACAGCACACTCATTTAAGAATAAATATTGTATCATTGTAATGAGGAAAAAAACTAGGAAAGTGCCTGAAGCTGTGCGGCAGACCTGTGCAATATCTTTTATTTCCTTGTTCTGTATATGGCTGAGTTACAATTTATTTAATTTAACCTGGCATAAGATAACAGTAGGAGGGTAATGTGGTATGAGATTAGACAAACTACAACATGCATGGTCCCACAACCTGCAAAGGATCTCAGTGAAAGATAGAATCTCTCCATCATGAACTCTTTGACCATGGCAAACTGCAAGCCTATAAATTCAGAAATTAGCATTGCCTTACAAACATTCCCATAGCTTCTTTTCTCTCACAATCCAAAATTTAGTCCAGTCTTATTGTGTAGAATGCATCTCCTTTCACAGTTGTTGCTTTCTTCTCTACAGTTTTGTATGGTTGCTTCGTCCTCGATGCCCCTGGCATACAGGTGCACCAACTGGCCATGAATCCTGAAAGAGGAAGTGAACATAGTTAAAAGCTGTGCGGCAGACCTGTGCAATATCTTTTATTTCCTTGTTCTGTATATGGCTGAGTTACAATTTATTTAATTTAACCTGGCATAAGATAGCAGTAGGAGGGTAATGTAGTATGAGATTAGACAAACTAAAACATGCATGGTCCCACAACCTGCAAAGGATCTCGGTGAAAGGTAGAATCTCTCCATCACAGTTCCACACTGACACAGCAGGAGTTTTACTGCAGCACAGACAGCACATGAAGGGAGGCACTGTTTTCTGCTCGTCTGCCATCTCTTGCCCCGTGCCCGTCTCTGCCAGGTTCTGCTGAGAGCTAGCACTGTTTTCAGTCTCAACGGAGCCTCTCTCTTCGTCACTTATTTCACAATTCCCTCCTCCAATCTCTTCGTAACTTTCCCCCTCTTTGCCAGAGGGAAGACAGAAGCGGACAGCCTTCACACGGTGAACCTCCACAAATGGCAAGTCAAACTTTAATAAAGTAAATAAATGGGGGGGGTTAGAGAGATTGGGTCAAGCAGTATTTTTTTTTAAGCTTCCTAGTCCACCTGTGTTTTATTGTGAAAGTGCCCATACCTGGTCCTGTGTGCTTGTTTGCCTGTGGAGATACGTTAGGAAATCCAGCGGGTTGGTGTCCCATACTAGGATGAGGTCCCCTGTTCCATCTGCCAGGTGAGCAGAAGGAGACAGGCCAAGAGGACTCCTGGGACATGAGCAGGACATACAAGTGAGAGAGACACACCTGAACCTGCCCTCCACACTCACCCACTCACCTGGAGAGACAGAAAGAGACAAATGATGCTACATGAAAAAAAAAGAAACATCTCTGAACACACTGTACGCTACAGATAATTCCATTTTGCATGTTTAAGTCCGTCATACATATTTTACTGCTCATCATATTCCACAATAGACCATACTTGTTGAGATTGTTTCTGATTGCGTTCTCTGCCTTTCAACTAGCTGCAAGAAAACCTACACCGATCAGCCATAACATGACCACTGACAGGTGAAGTGACCAACATTGGTTATCTTGTTACAATGGCACCTGTCGGGGTGTGGTGTACATTAGGCAGCAAGTGAACATTTAGTCCTCAATGGTGGTGTGTTGGACGCAGGAAAAATGGGCAAGTGTAAGGATCTGAGTGACATTGACAAGGGCCAAACTGTGATGGCTGAACAACTGGGTCACAGCATCTCCCAGAATGCAGGTCTTGTTGGGTAATCTCAGTCTGCAGTGGTTAGTATCTACCAACAGTGTCTAAGGAAGGACAAACAGTGAACTGGTGACAGAGTCGTGGATGCCCAAGGTTCACTGATGATGAGGTTTATCTACTGTTTTTGAATTTTTAAATTTCATTAAAAGGAACAATCACACTGCTGATAGTGTGAAAATAAGAGGTTGCAAATAGACATAGCTTTGTTTAAAGGGTCACAACATAAAAAGCCTGTTGAGTATACATGATCTGCGCTGAATGGGATAAGAAGTACAAAACATAAGCACAGGCCTTTCATGTGTGTCCACATTATTACCTTCTGAGTCACTACTGAACTGACTGCAATGGGAGCTGTACAGGGAGGCTGAATCAGAAGAGTGGGAGAAAAGTCTTTCTGTGCTTCTGGAGCACACACTGCACCTAAACAGATGAACACACATACACACAACACTCAGTTTCACTCTGAAGTCAAGGAAATAACAAGCTCCATAACCTTGATATCCATTCATCACAGCACCATGAACCATTAGCTGACAGCCAGAGGCAGCAGCATCGGACAGAAACAGAGGCTTTGTACTCTATAACAGGAGACTGGGGCTCACCTTTCATCTAGATCAAGTTCCTTTTGAAATGGTTTCCAGCCTCCTTAAGGTACACATCTAACACTGTGTCCCTGCTGCAGGTGGTAGCAGTTACTGTGTTTCAACCAGTGAATTTGAACCGTTTCACTAGTGCTTGAATAATAATGACAGTACTTGCAGGGTCACTTTCTCTCTTTCTAATTAAAGGGGTTTAAGGTTCACAAGGCTAAGACTGCCCACATTCTTAGGTAGCTTAAGTAAGGATATGGACTCAGAGATTTTCATATAGGATCTATATGAAACTATGGGTTTCTTCCAAAATTGTACTCATGTTTTCTTAGCCTGTACTATTATTATAAAAGATAGTTTCTTGTGTGATTTCCACTGGTCTGAACAACTGGAAGTTATAAAGAGATATGACATATAAACATCACTGGGGTGATGTTTATGTGAGGTTCGTTTGACTTCTCATAGCTTAGTCACAAACGTAAGGCAATGAAGAGTGAACCTCAGTTCACAGTCAAGTCACCTCAGTGATACAGAGAATGTGCAAAAGAAAAAAAAAAAAAAAAATTTCACATGGCCACTAGGTGCTTGATAAATGACATTATGACAAAACAGAAAAGTTAAACCTGCACAACAGATAACACTCCCACACACTAAGACAGTGGCTGTGTTAAAACACCACCATGTAACAAAACTATTAAAAACACTTTGTCAGTAGATGTAGTTTTACCCTGAGAGGCAGCGTATTTTATCTCTCGGGCTGGAGAGCAGTGGGTCTGCTGGTAGATACTGAACTATGCCAGCATAGCTTCTGTTGCTTAGGTACACCAGTGTGCCTAAACAGAGGAGAGCAGTTAGGTTAGCTAAAAATGCACACTAGATGTATGCACAGCATTTAAAAAAAGAACATACTTAAGCTAATGTGGTTTGTTAGATCAAATGGTTTTTTTTTGTGTCACATGACATCTTTGTCGTAGTGCTGATGTCGGAGACAGTTTCAAAATAACTTCTTACTTTAAGATAAAAATAAATAATGTCTAATCTAATTCAGCATGCAATTGTTTCTGTTGTCATGAATGAATCATCAGTCCCCACCTGAATACTCATATCTGAGTGGTCCCATCCAGCGATGTTTTTCACTCTCAGCCAGTACATCTCCATAGAAGCCATAGCCCAACAGAGACACCGAGTAGCGCACCAGAGCAGAAGCATGGTGAACTGAACACACATCCAAAGGCTGAGAGTCTCCTGTAAGGTATATTGCGAGAAATAAAAAAAAGCCATATACATTATGGAGCTCAAAGTTGACAAAAAATGCTTTAGATTTTTTTAAAATGTCCATTTACATAATGAACAGATGATTAAAGGAGTGGTTTATTTTAAAACACTTCCTCACCAACGATAATATGCAAAGCTGAAGTGACAGGGTCGACTACTCCCACCGTGGCATAACACACACAGTCCGTAGAACCTACAACCAGTGGTGGAAGAAGTACTCAGTACTAGTACTTAAGTGAAAGTATCAATAGCACAGTGTAAAAATGCTTTGTTACAAGTAAAAGTCCTGCATTCAAAATGTTAAATACAAACATATTAGCATCAAAACATACTTAAAATGACTAAAAGTACTCATTATGCAGAATGAACATTTAACATTAATGTATATGACATTATTGGATTATAATTACTGATGCAATATTGTGTACATCACATTTAATGTTGCAGCTGGTAAGCTGGTGACGTACTACTGTGTATCTTTTGACTTAAGTCTTATGATTATACTGCCATTTTTGTATTAATCTGGTTCTAAAAAGTAACCAGTAATTAAAGTTATAAAGTGAAAGTAGTGGAGTAAAAAGTACATTATTTGCTTCTAAAATGTAGTACAAAATGAAAATACTCAACTAAAGTACGGATTACTCAAAATTGTACTTAAGTGCTGTACTTGAGTAAATGTACTCAGTTACTTTCCACCACTGCCTACAACAAATGCAATAGAACATGTGTGACATGGCTTAAAATCCAACACAATCAGCTTATGGATACTTCACATTGGTCAGTACCTGCAGGGATGATGCCGATATGAAGTGGACAAGGCTGTAAGATGACAGCAGGATCATTCTCACAAAGGCCTGCCTCTTGTTGTGTCCGCCCAATTAAACCGTGAAGTATTTCACTGAACATGCCATCCCCACCCACACACACCACACTGTTATAAACAAACACAAGAGTTTCTGTTACAAAAGCACCACCACAGCAGACTTAGCTGTCATAACGCTCTCTTGTCACAGTCTTCACACTGTGGTGATTTTAACCATTACCCATCAAAGTCTGTCAGGTCTTTCTTCAGGAGGTGGTCTCTAGCCTGGTTAGCCCGCTCCGTCACTAAACAATAAATGTTATGATTACATACACACTGCAAATCCATTTCATTAATCATTTTTGAAATTAAGTCAGTCAGTTGAAAGCCATTCATCAGTCTTAACCCTTCACCTAGACCAGTTTCAAATATCAAGTCTGTAACCAATTAACCAAACTGAATAACCAATTTCTTCAGTACAAAAAAAGGAATGTACAGTTTATACCTATTACATGAGAGCTGATACCAGCCAGCTCAAACAAAGGGGCAACTACAGAGTGGTAAATCTTTCTTCCTTTCCTCTTTCCTCCAAAGGGATTGATAAACACCAAAAGTCTCTTAGGGCGTAACGGACCTGAAACAACAAACAAGTTGCTGAGAGCAGCGGATTTGAAATTAATCACTAATGGACAAACCATGAGGTGTTTAGAAGACAGCTGTAATATTTTTTTAGTGCCCTGTGTAAGTATCCATCCTTACTGTGAGTTTTAAGAGCAGTTCTTAGGTGCTTTGTCCACTGGTCTCTGAGCACCCGACTAGGGCAGCTGAATTGGGTCCGGCCCAGTCTCCATAGAAACCCAGAAGAGCCCCCACTGCTGCTGCGCTTCACGTAGAAGACTGGGGGTTAATGACAGATAGAGAAAATGAAACCATGCTGTAAAATCACAATGCTGGCTACTGAAATGTAAAGTACACATTTGACTAACTTATTAAGCTAGTGTTATCTGTACACTTGTATGCAAATTATGTTCTCATCTCAGTATGAACAGCAAAAAACTATGCAACACTTCAGACTGTGTTATTAAGCTGTGACCTTGGGTTTGTGATACCCAAGTCTCTCAAGAGAACCAACCTGTGAAGTCTTTGTCTGTGTCCTCTACTGATTTACGGGGCAGGATCTCCACACAGCCCTCCTCCACTCCAACCACCTCTGCCACAGGTACTGAAACTTATATCACACAAACAAGCGTACACGATGAAAGCTTCATTTGATGAGTCTTTGCATGCAGTTCATAACTGGAAAGGGCCAGGAACTTCCTCATTGGAAAATATTTTGAGATTTCATAGCAGCTAGAGCTGGTGTAACTATTAGAATGAATCCCACTGAGCTGTTACGGCGGCAGGACCTCCTTAGAGTTTTAACAGAAAACTTTTTGACGGGTCACACCAAAAAGACAAACATCAATAACAGGTGAAATTCATTTAGCTGCTTTAGTTTCAGGATCCTGGTATTGTGCCTCCTCAGTCAAATTTACCTTGACACTTAGGTTGGACAAGGCCATCCTTAAAGTTACAGGCAGCAGCTGTGTTTTTCCCCATACAAACCACTTTACAATCTCTCATATACAGTATATCATATGCATATCATGCACAACATCCCTTTACCCCTTGGGTGTAGACTACCTGTGTGACAGAGAGACACAAAAGGAGAAACACTGGTTGTTACAGTGTTGGGGGGAAAATAAAGTCTTATAATTAGAGGGCAAACCCTGTAACCTCGTGTGCATGCTCTCCATACCTATTGTTTTCTATAAATTGCCTCAGTAGGAGGTGTTACATGTCTGTGCGGTTCAACTTGTTCTTCACGTTTTCTGCAGCCAGCTGTGGGCATAATTAAAAAGTCCCTTCACTGTAAGAGCCCAAAATTACACGTAATGACCCCATCAGAAAAATGAAAAACTGTATTGTTGGCCATCGGTGCTGTTGGCAGTTCAGTGACGCATGTAGGTTATTAGGATACGTGGTAATAATAGAGTCTATTCGTGCATTTATTTGTGCTATTTGCCATTTTTAAACATGCAAAGAAATTAACCGATTAAAACGATGCAATGTGGTGGAATTGTAAATGTTTTGTGGTGCTGTTATTGTCCCTATAACTTTTTTTGTGTACTGGCAGAACCACCTACTTGTTTTCTTGTCGCGATTCTTATCTACCTCGGTCCAGTAGAAATGCCAGCCTGTCAGGACCCCCCGGTATCTTTTGTTCCCGACCCACAGACTCGACTCCAGCTTCAAGTCTGTCTCCATGTGGAAAACTGTTCTCGCCTTCGTTCCTTCGTGTTCCCCAGAAAACTTAAGATTACATTTTAGACCTGTAACTTTTACATCTCTGGGTAATAGCAACAGGTTGATAATCCGATCTCGCCATTAGTTACATAAGTGCCCTTATCTAACATGGAAAAGTCTTCATCTTCCTCTGAGTGAACCCGAACCTTGTTTTCCTAATGCTGAAGACACTGCCCGCCCGGCACATGGGTGTTATTCTGAGATCTGGTTCCTCAACAGCCCCTCCCTTATTGTGACACCTGCATGTTTCACTACTAATTGGAGAAGAGTAGCATACCTTAAGTATAATTACACTATATGGGCTGGTTATTGCATTGAGAATTGGGATTATTCGAAATTTTGTATCTTGCAGCCACACAAATGTGACTGTGAATGAATGTAACGTCACATTAAATTATAAACTACAGTATGACTAATCCATTCAGTAATAGCCTTGGTGTGGTGAATATGATGAGGTGACGGATAAAGCGTGTTTTTTTAAATTACGAACTCTATTTGTGAAAAGTATACTAAAAGACAAAGAGAGAGAGAGAGAGATTATCTGTAGCTGCTGTTCATCATTTTAAAAAATACTGAAGAGTTTGCTTAAGCCGATTTTACGTCACAAGTCCTTACGGACAAGGCTACGTAGTCTCAAGATTTCACAAGAGAATTGCAAGTCAGTTTCCAGTGCTGAACATTAAAGTGACACAGTATTTGAAAAATTTTAGAGCTTTATATGTATATATATATATATCAGGTTCTTCTAGGCAATGGTAAAGAGTAACGACGTACAATAAGTAGTGTACTTAAGTACAATTTTAAGGTTGCCGGAAATAGTAAAGACTTTTATTGTGAAGTCCCAGGGCATGCTGTAACCGGAAATGTATTACGCGACTTCCTTTCTACCTTCCTTGCTAGCAAATCGACTTAGCTAGCAAGGCAAGCTCTTTAAATCAATATATCTATGCTTTAAGCTTTACAAATCTCCGATAACACGCCAATTTACAAAATGAATATACGAAACGCAAGGGTAAGCATGTAGAAATCATTTCGAATGCCATCGTGTTTCTAACTGGTGGCTAAGCTAACATAAATTACAACAACCTGGTTACACGTTGACCAGATATCGATAGAGTTCGCATTTTGTCATGCATCTTTCTGATTTTCAGTTTTGTTGTTTTCATTGCAGCCGGAGGATCTTATGAATATGCAGCACTGTAACCTGCTGTGTCTTCCAGAAAACTACCAGATGAAATATTATTTCTATCATGGATTATCGTGGCCTCAGGTTATTCACAATGCTGTTTTTTATTTCTGTATCAGCTAGCACCACTACTACCTCCTAGCAACTGCATCCTTACAGAGTACACGTTTGTCCGGCTAATAAACCTTGTTTTCTTTGTTTCAGCTTTCATACATTGCAGAGGACGAAAATGGCAAAATTGTGGGATATGTGCTGGCAAAGATGTTAGTATTTGTATTCATATAAGTTACGGTAGTTTTACCCGATATCACTTGAACAATGGAGTTGTACAATGTATTTTTAAAACTTGTTATGAACCTTCTTAGGGAGGAGGACCCAGATGATGTACCGCATGGACATATCACATCCCTAGTGAGTGTGGATGACTGACACCTCATACATGTCCTCCAAATACTCCTTATTTGGATGGCTCCTCTTTAGAAAAGAAAAAAATACCTGTGTGTGTGTGTGTTCTAGGCGGTGAAACGCTCTCACAGACGTCTGGGGCTGGCTCAGAAGCTGATGGACCAGGCCAGTCGTGCCATGATAGAAAACTTCAATGCTAAATATGTCTCACTTCATGTTCGCAAAAGGTATTGCATGCTGTTGGCTGACTGTGGACTTGGTGACTCTTGGATTTGTTCAGAAGAATATTGCATGTTTTCCTGTTTACAAAATGTGACCAGGCTCTTTAGTAAATGTGTTCATTCTTCTGTTCTCATGAGACTCACTGATCTTTTCTCCCCACTGCAGCAACCGAGCAGCTCTGCACCTCTACTCAAACACACTCAAATTCCAGTAAGTCATTTTCTGTGCCAACATTTCTGTATTTTTACTGTGAATTCTCTTACAGATAGCATTGGCATACACAGATTTTTCAAAAATACTGAGGTCCTGACACCTCAGATTTATAGTTACCAGTGTACATGTTGGTTGCTATGTAACAAGAAATATTAGGTTAAAAGGAATAAAAAAAATTGCAGGATAAAAATATCAAATGTATTTCTGAGATCAGAAAAAAATTAAGCTAACCATGTATTTGTGGTAGTGAATGCAAACTTGGGTCATAAACTTATCAGAATCAGCTTTATTGGCCAGGTGTGACGGACACATGAGGAATTTGACTCGGCTCTCAATGTGCAAAACAGTAAACCAACATAAGGCTGTGTAATATAACAATATAGCAGTATTAACATCAACAAACAGCGCAAACAATGCAGAAAAAGCAGTATAAACAGACAGTAAACAATGCAGATAACAAAGGAATGTTCATTGAAATGATATAAATAGGGATAAAAACAGAGTACTTAGGAACTAGAGACCTGTACAAGTCTCTATAATCTGTACGAGGTATATTTACAGGTATTGCACTGAGGGTTATTGTCCAATCATACTGTCGTGGGTTAAGTGTTCATCAGAGCAACAGCCTGGGGGAAGAAACTGTCCCTGTGCCTGGTTGTCTTAGTGCACAGTGACCTGTAAACGCTGTCCAGAGGGGAGGAGTTCAAACAGATTGTGTCAAGGGTGCCAGGGTGTGAGGGGTCTGCAGTGATCCTCGCCGCCCTCCTTTTGACCTGTGAGGTGTACATGTCCTCCATGGAGGGCAGGCTCACACCAGTGACCTTTTCTGCAGTCCTCACTGTCCGCTGAAGTCTGTACTTGTCCTGTTTGGTTTCTGAGCCAAGCCAGACAGTGATGGAGGTGCAGAGGACAGACTCGATGATTCCTCTGTAGAACTGTATCAGCAGCTCCTGGAGCAGGTCAAACTTCCCGAGCTGGAGGGAAGGGTGGTGATTGTCGGGGGAGCTCATTATCTGAATGAGGCTCCTTTATTAACACTAAGAGCTACACAATTTGCTTATCAGACTTAGTATTTAGTTTTTCTGGCACATGTTCATCTTGCATTTATCAGCAGCTTCAGTTCTACAATACACACTGGGGCTAAACACTTTTCTCTCATTTATATCTACCAGGTCATTCAGAAACAGTGTTGACTTTGTAAATTCCTGCATAAATGTAAATGAACCTTTTTGAAAATGTTATTAAAAGCAAATAAAACAATATTGGCTGATTATATAAATAGAATTATAGTTTTATTGTTTTATGACCCTGAAATATTAATATTGTCATTGTCTCTTAAAATCCAATATTGGTAAATCTCTAGTCATGAGTCCAAGTACACTAAAATTACTTTCAGGTGAAAAAAAATGCTGAGGAAAATACAGAAGATATGAACTCTGTGCCCTCACTTGCAGCTACAGCCCTGTCAGATATTTGTACTGGCATTAACTGATGTGTTGTATTCTTGATTTTCCACAGGATTAGTGAAATAGAGCCTAAATACTATGCAGATGGGGAAGATGCCTATGCCATGAAGAGAGACCTGGCCCACATGGCTGATGAGGTGACATTATTCATCTGACATTACATGTTGGGGCTACATTGGCATGATTTCCATTAGTTCTTTGCTACCCCAGGGGATATCTAACACTATTGAACACAGATAAGCAGATTGTGAATATGAATGTGCCATATTTTTCTCTGTGCATCCTACAGCTGAGAAAACCTGGAGTTCGTGTGTCAGGTCAAGAGGCGCCATCTGGCCAGAGCCCCTCAGTGTGCGGAGACCAGGAGAGAGAGAGCGAGCGTGACAGCGGTGGAGAGAGCAAAGAGCTGAGTGAAGTCAGCGAGGCAACAGAAAGCACGGACGTTAAAGATTCTTCCTCCGATTCACAATGACACTGCAGCTCTACCAACTGTGACTGTGTTGATCCAGCATTTCCATCACTGCTTTAGTTGGAATGCTGCTGTGTTTACCAAAATTGAAAACAACCGTTGCTTTTTCAGCTGTCTCAATCTGGTATCCTAATTAGTTAACAGAATTGCCACAAATAAATTTTTGAAATAATATTGTTATTGCAGTTATTTTAGTAGGTGATTTACATCTGAGCATAGATCATTGTGTTGTGATAAGTCAGTCAAGTTAAAATGATATTTAGTTAAAACTGCACTCAATTTTGAACTCAATATGACATGTAAATACAGTAGTACCATATGCTCAGCCAGTGAAGGGGTTAAGATTTGAAAATGTCTAACTTTGGTGACTCCTAGTGGTGGCTCATTACCCCACAAATGAACTGACCCTTTGACACTGGTGAATGAGCAGAAAGCAACACGCTGCACCAGTTTTCACCATAACTCGCATTTTTCTAGAAATAAACTCCTCCATCATGTAGCAATAGTGCTACATACAAGGATGGGCTTTACTATACAGCGATCAGCCATAACATTATGACCACATGCCTAATACTGTGCACATAGGAGTCAATATGGCAGTTTGTGCCTGCTCTTGTTACTCAGAGGCTCGCAGCACATCCTGTGTGAATGTGTTGCCCTATACTGTCTGAAAGAGCATGAATATCTATCATGTAGTGATAAAAATGTCAAAGGAAACTGGTCATGAGGACAAGTTAGACATTCAACAGCCTCTCGCCTCTAGGTGTGATATCACTATAGCTGCTGAATGTTTCCCATCATAGAGATCAATGTACAGTAGTTCTCATTTTCACACATTTTAACAGAGGTTCAAACTGATTTTTTTTGAAAAGTACAAATAAATCTTTTAAATCTACACTAGATAAACATCATCAGTGAGCTGTGGGCATCCATGACCCTGTCACCAATTCACTGTTTGTCCTTTCTTAGACCGTTTTTGGTAGGTCAAAGTCACTCAGATCCTGACTCTTGCCCTTTTTTCCTGCTTCCAACACATCAACTTCAAAGACTGAAAGTTCACTTGCTGCGCCACACAGTGACAGGTGTGTTGTAAAGAGGTAGTTGTGTTATTCACTTCACCTGTCAGTGGTCATAATGTTATGTCTGATCAGTGTTAGTGAAAAGCAAGCCACTCAGGATTGCCATGTTAATGAAAGAGTCTGCTTTCCACCATGATGTCTGATGCTATGGAAATTTGTCAGTTGCATTAAACTGAAAGGTCATAATCCAGCCATGAATAATACATTAGGACTCAGTAGACATTTCCTTTACTGAAACTGTGTTCTCTGTCATACTGGCCAAAGTACATATGCTTAGTCAATTTTTTAGGCAGATTTTGCAACATCTTACTTATTTAGAGGAAGGAAACAGGAGGCAGAGAGAAGTGCATGACAGATAACAGCAAGTGATGCACTTTTCCCATTGAAGTTTGGTTTTTTGTCACAAATAGCTTCACACTGTCATGCCATTTAACACATTTCAGCTAGAGCTGAAGAAAACAACATTGTTATGTGGCACCAGTGTTTTTTTTAGTTTTTCTTGTTGTTTGCCACCATTGTACATGTGATAATAGCTGTTGTGGAGTTTCACTGATATGAAATACACTTGTTTTACCTGACATTAAGTGTTTTCAAGATTATTAGCCATACATTACTAGTCATACTGTATGGAAGCAGATTGTGGACTCGAAATTCAAGGGGGGTATTTCTTGTCCAACTGAACTCCATAACAGCTGAAATCACTGTAGTCAGAGAATAAGCTGTGAGGAGGGACTAATCAGTGAAAACAGCTGGTGTCTGATTGAACTGAAAACCTGCTGTGGAGTTCAAGAGGTAGCACAGAAGAGAGAGGAATACCTCAACTAGAAAAGGTTTTCACTCCTCACACTTGTACAGTCACACACTGATGCCTGAAACTGAATGTGTGAGTGAAATGAGGGGTGAGAAAGCAAACGCATTAGAGCAGTTTGTATGTGTGTGTGTGTGAGAGAGAGAGTGTGTCAGAGATGAGTTCCACTCCACCCACATTCATCGTGTCCAAAGTGAGGGGGAGGTGAAACAGTTGAGAGCTTACTGTTCTATTAACTGGCATTATTTAGTTGCCTCAGTCTGGAGAAGCAACTAGTCAGGACTGCTCCTTATCAGGTAGGACTTTTTTTTAATGGATTAAACTTTATTTGATTTTCATTTACTCTGTCTCACCAAAGCTACTCAGTTCAGTTTGCCACTTTGTCTAATAAACATGTTTTTGCACTGCAAAGTCTGTGCTGGATTGTTTTACTTCGTTATTTTAGTAATTATTGGTTATACACCCAGTCCTCAGGCCATTGATGTTCAGGCAGTATGCGTTTGTACTTGTGGATACACAAAGTGAGGCTTGTAGCACTACTGTAATAGCAACCCAAAACCCATTTGGTAAGTAAGGTTAAGACTAGCTTTCATAAAACATTACAGCAGATTGTAACAAGAGTTGGTGATTCACTGCTGATCACATATAGAAAGAATGAAAAGGCCTAATGGAAAAGGGTGACATACTGGGGAAAATGAGACATTCTCTTTTTTACAGGGAGTTTTGGTTTGCTGTAATGTCATTTTAGCAGGTCAGCCGGTACATGGCTAAGTTAGAAAAGGGTGCACATTTCAAATGAATAGAATGCTGATGAGTGATGTTTAGCTACTGATAAAAGGGGAAGTGGAGGAGGGAAGAGACTATACAGTATATGCAATGTGTACAGACTTATCCAGCAAGAGCATGCTACTCTTCCCCTTTCTGATGTGCAGTCAAAGTTGTCCTAATAAAAATGGTGCAAAGATCAGTAGCTTCTTGATTCTCAGTTTGGTAAAAAACTTGTCAAGGGACCATATATTTAAATAAGTGTTGTGCAGTGAGTGCAACAATCCTGCTGTCTTCTGTTTGTTCTACTTTAGATTCTGCAAAGATTCTCTAGGGGTGTTGGTTTCTGTTACATCACATGATAAAATGACAAGTTGAGTGCCATTGGTGCAACCACCTGTAGTCTTCCACACAGAGTTGTGCGGTATGGCCTGTGCTTCACCCTATTTTTAGCGTAGCTGAGATGTTCCTAGAGCTATTTTCGCACCTCATACAATTCTACAGTATGGCTGGTGCAGCAGGCAGCACATGGCTAGCTAGTTGTCTGCTGTTCAGCAGCGCACAGCAGAGTGTGACCAGTGTGAAGACGTGTTGCAGTAAGATGTACATGCTCTTTTTTGCTCTTTCAGTGGCTAGAGAAATTAGCATAGTCTTTGGAGTGGGTTTTTCGGCTGAGGTGCAGCAGTAGATCATAGTTTGCATGTATATTTGATATATTATGATTCTGCATGAGAGGTCAAAGTAACAGCAGCTAATTTTTTACATTGCACAGAAAGTATGATCTTCTTTTATTCAGAATTTCACCCAGTTGCAGCAACGATGGCTTCCCATGTGAAACTTCGTAAGGAAAGGGTCGGTATGGTGGACTATGACACACAAATAAAAGGTAAAATAATAGCTTTTATTTGTACCGTTTAACAGCTCCTCCCATTATCACACACCATCTTGGCTGCATTTGTGTGTTGACATGTTTCTCACCCCAGCAACTCGTATGCTCTCATGTTTTCTTGTCTCTTCTTGTCTGTTCCGTCTCCCCTGCTTCCTTTGTCTTTCAGAGGTGCGATGCCAGCTTGTAGATCAACTTAAAGTGTTAGACTTTCATCTTGAGCAGAAGAGCCAGCAGCTGCAGGACCTAATAGACTACCTGCGACGAAGGGGTGAGATAGAAAGCGAGTACGCCCGCTCTCTGGAAAAACTTGCTGAACGGTTTACTTCCAGGATTAAGAGGTAATGGCAACCCTGACTTGGGCAGCAATATAGTGTACTAAATTGTCCCTAACAAAATGTTTGTTCACGCGTCTTCCTTCTCTTCATGTTCTCAGGAAGGAGCCCAGTAGTCACTCTGTAGCACAAGTCTGGCTGACTCTGCTGTCCCAGACCCGCCAAGAAAGTAGGGACCACAGCGGACTAAGTGAGCGCTGCAGTAATTTACTCATCCAGCCACTCACACACTGTCTGGAGTACACACAACGTCTTGCCAAGAAGGTATTGATACAAGTACTGCTTGATTTGCCACAAACAAAGCATGTGTTTAGAACAAGTCTGTATGTGCACAATGTAACTGACATGCTGATATTAGAAGTGTATTATGGTTCGCTGTGTTCTTCTGTGTTGCGCCAAGACATGTTCTGGTATCTTATCTTTTGTTTCTAGAGTAAAGACATCTGTATTCAGCTACAAGACGGACTACTCAAGGTTACCACTGAACTACAGACTGTAAGTGACAAATCAAGCACACAAAATGTTTTCTGTTTCCTATATGACAGAAGAGAACATTGCTGAATGCATCTGTGTGCAGACATGGCGAACGTACTACCAGTACCACTCAGACTATGTGTGTGCAGAGGGGAAGCTAAAGGAGGCAGAGAGACAGGAGGAAAAGCAGAAGCAGAGCGCTGCTAAAAAACTGGAGAGGTTGATAGAAAAGGTAAATGCCATTTTTGTAGTATTATGTGTGTGCATGATCAATCATATAACGTTTTATTTTCTTGCTGATGTTTGTTCAACAGAGACAATGTAAGGCCCAAGAGATATATGTGAAATGCAGCAAGGCCAGAAACGAATACCTACTAAACTTAGAGGCAGCCAATACCTCCATGAATAAGTATTACCTCCAAGACATCTCCACTCTCATCAATGTGAGTATATCAACAAACTTTTAAAGCATTATAATATAATATGAAGTCAGATCTATAGCACAAGATGTAAAATATTATGTTTAAAGAAGACATCATGACTCAAATGATGGTATTATTTTTTTTTCTAATGTCATTGTGTCTCTCAGTGTGCAGATGTAGGGTACCACCTCTCTGTGAGCCAGGTGATGCAGGCATACCTGTCCAGTCACTGGCGATCCCAACAGAACATGAGCACAGGGCTGCAGCACCTTCAAGGGGTTGTGTCTGGACTGGACCAGAGTCAGGACAGGGACACCCTGCTGCAGGACCACTATAACGCCTTTTCTCTGCCTCTTCGTTTCCTCTATCAGCCCCACGAAGGAGACCAGGTGTGGATTATGTGTGAATAACTTCTATGTTTTTTCTGTAGACTCTTCAGCTGTTTTGCATAATGTCTACACTCACTTCTGTCTCCCAGGTTTCTGAAGTAAGTGCAGAGTGTGAGATGAGATGTGAGCTGGAGACCAGATTCAAACAGATACAGGCCAGACTGAAAGCACTCACCCAGGAAACTGAGGAGGTAGAGTAAATTTGTCATTTTGTTTTTTCTGACAGGCGATTAAAAGTAACAACAGCAATTACACACGTTAACCATAGTGGCCTGACCATAAGTAAGCGTAGTATTACCAAAGCATAATATGCATTTATCAGTGTCGCTGTCATATAGGCTAGTAAGGGCATGCTGTCAGCCCAGTCCTCCCTGCTGGAGAGTATCGGTGATGATGACTTGGAGCCCAGCAGCGGTTCATCTCAGGACAGCAGCACTGAAAACTTGACGGTCAAGCCCAGTGTGGCCCGACGCAGGTCCAACCAGCAGGAAATAGAAAACCTCTACTTCATTGTGAGTTGTTCCTTTTTTTGTTTTCTTGTAAAGGAATATACCAGAATAGTACACTGTTTAGCATGATAATATACAGTTGGGACATACTGTGTATAGCCATGGCTTTTTTTTTTTTGTTAATAGGTGGGTTGTGGTTGATAAATGTGATGTTGATGAGGGGAGCCTCAGTGAATGGTGATACAGTTAAATCGCATCTGATTTGTTTTACAGAAACTAAAAGAGTACCTTGTTGGCAGTTCCCTGGTCTCTAAATTGCAAGCCAAACATGACTTGCTAAAAGTGGCTGTAGAAAAAGGTATCTCTTCTGCTTTTATCAAATAATATACCACATCAAAATGTCTTTTGAAAACAATGACTTGTCAGTTTGTATTCTTGTGTAATGTTGTTATACAAGCAAGCAGCGTGATGTTTTTTTTTTATTTGTATTTTTTAACTGGCTGGTTTTTGGTGACACTCGTTTTAATTTTTTGTTCTTTTCTTCCTAGCTGAAGCATCCAATGGGCATAAGCCTAGGTAGGGATATACAGTAAATGCTCTTATACTCAATACATTTTTGATTTATTTGTGAAACATACTGCCAAAACTATATAATATACTGTATAACTGCAACAACACAGTACCGTGCCTTCACATTTTGGTGTCTGTATCTCTGCAGAGCCAATGGAAAGTTTATGCGCATCAGGAGGAATCAATCAAGTGCCAATTTGGTGCCCAACCATAAACTTTTTAATGGAGACATGCTGTCCTTCATAGAGGTAGCTATCGTCATATTACACTATCTCACCACTTCTTCTATTAGCTTTTTTTAGTGGTCTACATTATACTGTATACATGGTTTTTCTTCCATTACATTAGTTAGAACTAACAAACTCCGTGGTTGTGAAATTTATCTCTAAATTTGTTTCATTCAGGCATCGGGACAAGAAATTCCACTTGTTGTTGAAAGTTGCATTCGCTTCATCAACCTCCATGGTGAGTGAGACAAAACAGCGAACCAGTAAATATACAAGTGTAACTCTGATGCAAACATATCATGATTCTAAAGGTTATCGAGTTTATAGCACTGAGAAAACTTAGAATTATCTGTCTGTTCAACAGGTCTTCACCATGAAGGAATCTTTAGAGTGCCGGGTTCTCAGGTAAAGGTCAATAACCTGAGGGATGCATTTGAGCGAGGTAGACCTGTGTGTTTTGTGTGTGTGTGTTGGCATGACCTGTATTTATAAATCACCCTTGATTGTAGAGCATTAATAATGTGGGGCAGTGTGCCATGGGCTTCCTCTGCAGGAGAGGATCCCCTGGTCGATCAGAGCTGTGACCTGGACTCTGTGGCTGGAGTGCTGAAGCTCTACTTCCGAGGTCTGGAGAATCCCCTCTTCCCCACTGACAGCACCAGCCAGCTCCTGGAGTATGCTCGTGAGTGCATCTAAGCAAGTGTATGTGTTGAAATGTCAAATAACTGGCACTTAGGGCATACTTCCTTTTTTTCCAGAAATAAATGATGAGGCAGAGAGAGCAGCTCAGCTCAAAAGGGTCATCTCTTCCTACCCAGAGCCTGTTATCATTGTAATGAGATATCTCTTTGCATTCCTTCATCAGTGAGTATTGTAATTCTCTGCAGTTTTCATTCTTCAGAACTTAAATAAAAAAAAAATCATTCACAAAATACAAAAACACTTATTTCTAGAAAACATGTAAGCCAATGTCTATTAAATCTGACAAAAGTATGATGGATGGGAAAAAAAATTCATAATGTACTGTATATTTATTAAAGCCAAATGTGCACCACCAGCTCATTTCCATAGGGAGCTACTGACATTTGTTTTCAAGAGTCTCAGGAAGGTGGCTTGATTTGACACTTTATATAGGCAGTTGAGCAAAACTAGATTTGTGACTTGTTTAGAATATATATTAAACAAAATGTATACAAAAATTTGAAAAAAAAATCACTGATGTAATTTTATTAGTGCAAAATGGCAGCGCTTTGGAAAGTGGCTTGACAAATCGAGATACAGATAAAACACCCTAAATTAGAAAAGGAAAAAGGTGCACACACAAAACAGAGGGAAATGAAACAAACGAATCAGAAAAGGCACAACAACCAACTAAAAATAGTACCCACAGAATACAAGAACATTTTTAAAAAGACTTCTTATTAATTGGCTTTGTTTTACTGTGTGCTTCTCATTCTTGGCCCTCTAGCTTTTTCAATGTATAATTTTTTTTTTTCTTTGCTTCCTGTCTCTAGTGTGTCTCAGTACAGTGATGAGAACATGATGCAGCCTTACAACCTGGCTGTGTGTTTTGGCCCCAGCTTAGTCAGAGGAGCTCAAGATGATGATGTTGTCATGCTGCAACCTCAGATTAATGCCCTAGTGAAGAGCATCATCCTCCAACATGAAAATATTTTCCCCAGCCAGAGTGAAGTGCAAGGACCGGTGTATGAGCAATGCATGACACTTGAAGAGGATGATGGGTAAGAGAAAAGATCATGCATAACATGGAGACACTGTATGATGGAATTATTATTATTTGAAGGTGTTTTCTTCACAGGGAGCCCATCATTGAAGAAGATGTAGAACCAGAGTACACCAGTAGCAAAGACGGTAGGTGTATGTGCTTATCTTAGTTTAACACTTCTCAACAGCTCTGCTGGTGTCTGTGAATACAAGATGTATCAATCTGATGTTTTCCAGAGTTGGAAACAGGATCTTTAGGTGATGTCGGCATCAGCTCCTTTGCAGCAGCACCACAGAAAAATACAGAACGTCCCAGAGCCAACAGCAGCGGCTCCATTGATAAAAAGAGGATATCAGCAGCTGCTTCAGGTGCAAAGCTAATGCTTCAAATTCCTGTTGGGCCACAGAGCAGACCAAGGAGAGCCCCATCTCCTGGCTATGTGCGCAGAGAGTGAGTACCACTTAATGTTGCAGGAATATCAACTGACTGTATATGTTATATGTGCATGAGAAATTCAGTGGTTTCTGATCTGTTTTTCTGCATACAGGCTCCTGGAGCACTTGCCTTCAGAGGATAATACTGCTCAAGTTGACAAGGTCCATCTTTTTTCTTTTGGGTTTAAATTACTGGTACTAACACTAACCTTAACAAATGGTCATGTACCAAACCTTTATATTAATTAAATGACTATTCTAGCAAGTCATCTATAATGACTAAAAATGCTAAGTAATCAACGAAGGGGTTTATAAGAGTCTGCTGTTGTAAATAATCTAACATCTTTCAAATAAACTGATTTTAGTCCAGATGTTCTGCATTAATTTTCCAGAGGTTGTGGTTGAACTGTCCTTGGAAAGGTTTCCTGATTAAAGTGCTATACGCTATAAACTCTTTGAACTGTTCTTTTTAGAAAGCTGTAACAAATGACTGAGTTAACAGCAATACTACATTGTGGTTTTTATGACAACAGAATTAAAAGCTCTTGGGGGAGTGCAAGAAACAAACAATTTTGTGTTTTCACCTGTCTCTTATCACCATCATTTTTCACAGGTGGTCTGTCAACAGATGGCCTCCGTCTTCAAGGAGCTCGTCTCACGGCAAGCGTCGCAGGAGTCGTCCTTCAACCTTTCCTCTTCCTCTGCACCAGCTTCCCAAAGTAAAGGGAAGCGAGATGGGCGCAAGGGGAGAGGAGCTCTTCAAAGTAGCTGATCCACTGGACTGTGAACAATGGCATTGGTAGATGACATGAAAAAAGAGATGCTACATTTGAAAACTGAGGTGTAGGGTAATATGCTCTGATGATAGCTTTCAGCTGTATCTGTTTCTAGGAAACTTGAAATTGCTGACACATCTGTCAGTTCTGCGACGCCCTTGGCTTCATTCCATAGGGTGGCTCCCTATTCAGAAGCCCTTTTGTACACAGTAGAAGATCACTGTTGTGTCTGCCAAACTGTGGATTACTTGAAATGTACAGATGTTTGTTTGACTTTATACCTGCATTATTATTGTTTTTAGTCAGTAGATGCACATCTACACACAATCATGCTTATAATCTTCATCAAATGTCTGTTTACTAAAATAAGATGAAATCATAAAGTCAAAAGCTGTAAGGTACAGTGTATATCAAGGCTACCAGCTAAATAAATATTGTGTGTATTCTCGCTGTTTGTTGGGCTTGGTTTGTTTGTTTTGCAGGGAGCATGTATTTAGTCTTTAGACTTGTAGCATTAATATTTCAAACATTTGACTATAATATCAGTTTGTCAAGGTCAAAGTGTTGATTTGTCATATGCACAGTTAGGAAATGTGTTTCCCTGTACAATGAAATTCTTACTTTGCCGTCCACATGAATGCAACACAATACAAGGGAAATATAAAGTAGAGAACTGACGCAAATTGAAAGTAATTTATAAATTGTTTGATGTGAACAGAATTATCAAATGAGCCAAATCACAAATGCTTTTACACTTCTCAAAATTTTAACTAAATGCTTTGTTAATGTATATTTATACAAATGCGATGAAATGAGTACCTCTATTTTTGGTACATTTTGCTGGTAAATAATAGGCACTTTTAGTCAAGTAAAAAATCTAAATGCGGAACTTTTCTCGTAATAAATTATTTTGTACAATGTGGTAAAGGAGTATTTCGTAGACCACTTCTTTCACGACGTGTCAACTGACTACTTTCCCAGAATACTTTGCGATGCAAGCGCCACGTCATTCTAGCGCAGCCGCAGAGGTGTCGCGGTGAGTTGAGGTAGGATTCTTCCTTTTAGTCACTGTGAAACGAGTAGTGCAATTCATCCACTGGAGGCTAGGAATAACACGACATTTTCCAAACAACTTCTCAGACAACAGAATGATTCGGATAGCAGCATTCTTAGCTGTACTGGTAGTCGTCTGCTCGGGTAAGTTAGCGGAGAATCGGTGGAAAATACACACTGTGGTTAACGTTAGCTAGTAGCAAATTCATTCATCAAATCACTTCCTCTTGCCTCATAATTTAGGTGTTTGTGAAATGTGTATTAATAGTTAATACAGTGCAGATTGTGTATTAATGTCTAGAATTGTAGCTGACTTCAGCTCTGCTCTGTGGTGACAGGAGAGAGCTGCACAGCACCAGCGATCACGCCATCGGCCTACACGAGCTTTGTCCTCTGAATCTGTATTCATCGTTGAACTCAGCTTGACCTGCGCCAACGGAGCACAGGTAACTGCCCACCTCCGGCACTTCTGCAAGACATAATAATTTACTGAAGCTAACGAGCGACAGACTCACAAGGCTATTCCCTCTACAGAGTGTAACTCTGTATGCAGATGTGAATGGAAGGCAATTCCCTGTGACCAGAGGGCAGGACGTTGGCAAGTACCAGGTATGGTAGTGTTCCTATGTACTAATAAAAACTGTTGACACCAGTAGTCTTTATGTCATTGAAATGCGACTGGCGTCACAATTCTGCGCTGGAGGAGGCGAGGCCATAAGCAATATTTGTGCTCTCCTTCTTCTTATTATTTCTTTATTTCGATTGCACATTTTATTTTCGCAAACACAGTACGCTGTGTCTGACGTCACGTCCTCTTTTGTGCATGCGGGTCACCTCAGGGCCGTATACCATGAGACAGATGGCAGTCGCATTTAAATGACAGTGTGAACAACAGCGCAAAAAAAAAATCGGATTTCGGCAAAAAAAAATCTGATCTGAGCATTAAGGCCTGCAGTGTGAACGTAGTCTATGTCATAGAAATGCGACAGACAACACAATTCTGCGCTGGAAGAGGCGAGGCCATAAGCAATATTTGTGCTCTCCTCCTTCTTGATGTTCTTCTTCTTATTATTTCTTTATTTCGATTGCACATTAACTGGTACATCGCTACGCACATGCTATCACGAGCCGCATCCATTTTTATTTTCGCAAACACAGTACGCTGCATCTGACGTCACGTCCTCTTCTGCGCATGCGGGTCACTTCAGGGCTATAAACCGTTCACACACGAGACAGATGGCAGTTGCATTTAAATAATCGTGTGAACAACAGCGCAAAAAAAAATCGGATTTCGGCAAAAAAAAATCTGATCTGAGCATTAAGGCCTGCAGTGTGAACGTAGTCTAAGTACTCATAAACGTCCTCATTGAGAACTAAGTGTTTGATGTCCAGCAATTTCTTACAGTCGTATGCGATTAAGTCTGAAATTGTTTTATCTGATGTGTGTATCTCTATGCAGTCAATCCACAGTAACCTTGGCTGTTAGCACGTTTTACGTTTGTGACGAAAATATGTAACAAAAGCAGGGTTTTTTTGGAGAACCAGTCCACAACTACAACAACTAAGTAGCTCCAGACTCAAAATGACCATAAAACTGAGTGAACTCCATAACAAGTATCCTCCTCTCTGTTGCCTATGCAACCATTTGAGGCATTTTTAATTATCCTGATGTAACATTTGTCTTTGTTTTAGCCACACCTTTGCTTTTTAAAGCCTGTTATTCATGTATCATACATCAGTCCATTTTCATGTTTTTGTCTACTTTATTTATTACTGTATGATCTTTCAGTGCTCATTTGCTTTGTCCTATAAACACAAAACACGGCCTCTCAGAGAGGCGTAAAAGCTTTTATTCAGCTTCTTATCAGCTTGAGACCCCTTCTGTCAGGTGTCCTGGAGCCTTCCTCACAAACAGGCCAGCTCTGGAACATACCAGGTCAAATTCTTCGATGAGGAGTCCTACAGTGCTCTGCGGAAGGTTAGCATTTGTTGTATTGCTGATGAAATCATAGTTTATTGTCCATTAGCTCCTCTTATTTTTCAGTGTGCTGTCTTTTTAGGGAAACACTGGTCAGTTTGATTTATATGTTTGCATCTTCTGTTCCCAGGCCCAGAGAAACAATGAAGATGTAAATGCCATTCAGCCCCTTTTCTCTGTGAACATTGACCATAGGGTGAGTCTCTTATAGGGCCCTAGGTTGACTGCAGTCACAGTCATGGTGCCATAGGCCTTGTACAACTGAAATAAAGCAGCTATAATCAGCATTAAAGATGTACTATATATCAACATTGGATCACATGTCATTGAAAGGAGCTGCTTGAAGTCATAAACCCACAGAAAATAATCTACCAACTCTGCAGTTCACCATAGTTTTACAAAGCTTTACAGTATCTTTCAACTCGCTGTTTGGATTTGCCATCCTGCTGTTTCTTTTTTGGTTCGGTTTTACCACTCTCCTCAGTAGGCAGCTGTTTTCAGTGAAGCTCTAAAAACCCATTTGTACGCTACCTGCCCAATACCAAACAGGAAATCAACAAAATTGGCAAGTATCTGGTGAATAGAGTGGAACATTTAGCCAGATGTTTTGCCTTAGGAGTTAGGGGAGAAAAAAAGAAAATGAGAGTGAATATGGGACTGAGATTCATCAGGAGACTAGGAACACATCTCCAAGTGAATGTTAGTTTTACTCTGTATGTGCTGGATGAGTACCTAGCCAGCTGTTTACTAATATGTTCACCAAATAAACTCAAAAAGGGATAATACAGTAGGTAAGGGTTGTGTTTATGGCTATTTTCCACTGCCCCCAAGAGGTAATAAAAGGTATTGCAGGTTTAATGACAGATTTTTGCCAACCTCTGCTCTCTGTGGTGCAGGAGATAGCTGAAGAGACCCAGTGATCCTTAAACGTGTTGCTGTAAAGCATAACTTTATTAAATATGATCAAATTTAAAACTAGCATTTGGTATTATTAATGTTTCAATATTACGCAAGTAATTTTTATAGGACTCCCTGAGTGCAACTGGATTCTTACTGTGTGTGACTGTATTGATCATTTCATCTAGAGGCAAATCTGCTCCATAGACAGTAAACAAGGATCAACCAACCATTGCAGCAGCCATGCTGATTTTATTGGGATAATATTGGTTTTCTAGTTTTGAATTCGCTGTACAGAGTTACTAGAACAGCACATTTTAAATTGTGCTCAAGAATATTTTGGATTTGTCTAAAAAAAATTCCCCTTGTTGTGACATTTTGAAATTTTGTGTTGTTGATTAAGAAATGTATGACAGTGTTTCCTTGTAAACAATTTTATATATATAAAAAAGCATAATGGGTCCATTAAGAATGACATCATAGTTTATAAATTGCTTCTTATTGTGTACATTATGATGTGAGGTTCAGTCTGAGCAGTCACCCATGCTGAAACTGGAATGCAGCATTGGTTATCATTTACTTCTCTTCCTCTGTAAACCTGTACCCATATATATATATATATTTTTTTACCCTCTCACTACAGGGTGCGTGGAGCGGCCCATGGGTATCTACTGAAGTGCTGGCTGCACTCATTGGTATCCTGGTCTATTACATGGCTTTCAGTGCCAAGAGCACCATCCAAGCATAAAAGGATCCAAAATTACTTTAATTACTGGATTGTTAAAGACTGAACATTTGGTGGGGCTCGGTCGACAATTCATCATCCAGCATTGTGGCAAGTCAGGACGATTTTGCCACTTGAGCTGCTTTGAGGAGCAGGAGTAGCAGTCTTTGTATTTCTTATTCAGACTGTGTCTGTGCGATCAGCCTTATCAATTTACAGATGAATTTTGTCACAAGTTTGTTCAAAGTGGCTAGAATTTTGTCATGGACCACTTAAATAAACAAAACTAAATAAACAAAACAAATGTACATGATTTGCTGTATTCAGTTCTGTTTAAAGATTTTGCTCCATCCAGACCAGATTAGCCTTTGTTCTTCTATGTGGATGCACTGTCCAGAGTGGGACTTGTACATATGTGCTAAACACCAACAGAGAAAGGTCAAGCCTTCTATATGAAATGCCAGTATTGTGCTGGCATAGTGGACATGTCTGTTCCAGGTAAATGATTAAATGGCTTGTTCTTATTTTAGATTATTGTGTTGGTTCATGTGATAGTTCAGTGACTGCCTCTTCTATATGTTTGTTTTCCTCAAAGACAAATATAAAGATTCACTCCACAACATCTCATATCAACTGGAAAGTTACGTTGTTTTCAGTCCACTGACCTCAACAAGATCAAATAATAACCCATTGCAGATAGATTTACTGTAGCTGTCAGTCCTTTTACAAGTCTTATCCCAAGTACTTATTTAGTATGATTTGTCCACTTTCAGTGGACATCAGCTATTTTTGTTATCAGTGGAGGACCTTGATGTCCTGCTGGTATTTCAGGATAGCCAAGGAAAATGGGGTGTACCCCGCCTCTCGCCCAGTGTCAGCTGGAATGGGCTCCAGCCCCTCCATGACCCTGTTCAGGATACGTGGTATAGATAATAGATGGTTGTAGACTAACAGTAAACATGTAATAGTTGTTAATTCAGTCAGCAGTCACTAAAATAACCTTGGTTGTGCTGTATTGCAGTACCACCAGTTGAGCACACTGTGGCAGCTCTGTGCTGCTTTTAGGTCTGCTGGAGGGAGACTGAGGCCAGCTATTATTACCTCATGGACATATTGCAAGTGATTTTTACAGGTTTAGGTATCAGCTGTTGGTAATGCAGTGAGACACGTTACATAATACACATTGAGGCCTTGTTATGTTTTACATCGGTTTAACTTTGTTTGTTACATTTATAGATATTTAGTGCAATCTTGTTCTTGGGTTACCTAATTAGAGATATTTAAAGTTAGCATTTCTATTTCTGTAGTTGGCCCAAATCAGGGGCTGCACATACTGTACAGCACACAGAGTGCTACATTTTGCTGAATAACAGCTTGACTGTAGCTTCTCACTGACTCCCATGGAACTAATGTAAATGTTGCATATAAGTAATTTGATCCACTTACATGAAAACAGCACAGTGTACAGAGTACACAAGTTCATAGCTCATATTTCTGTTTTTCATAGTTGTGTCAGCACAAACACATTTTGGTGTTGTAAGCACATGTCAGCTTTTATCATCTGTCAACTTTAGCAAGAAGAAAATACAGACATTACAATATTGTTAATTCAGAAAAGATGTGAACTGGAGTGGATCCAGACACTCCCTCACTGAGTCACCTATTAGGCTGTGGGAAGTGGGGGGTGGACTGACACAAGACACTTCCTTCTCTTTGTGATGCGCTCAAGCCACACATCAGTGCAGATAATTGCAAATGGAGAATAGAGTATTGTTGTTTCGGAGTGAATGCTCTCACAGAGGTTCCAATTTATTCTTTCAGTGATGAATTGTTTCTCTGCAGATTCTGTTTCAGACTTTAATTCACATTTGTTTTTATATAATTGCACCACACAGGGTTTTAATGTTACTTTACCATTGCAAACCATCTTGTGTCTTTGTTTTTAGAGGTACCGCACACATGTTCTTATTGTTATACTGCAAGATTTATTAATATTAGATATGAGTATTTAAGAAATTTGCTTTAAAGAAGTGTGCGTGTGTGTGTGTGTGTTATGTATGCTGTGAGGCAGAGAAAACCTCCTGAGACAGAGGTGTTTAAAACACTAACTCCGGTGGCAGACACCAATGGGCTTAGTGAGATCCAGCAATGTGAAAACTGGCATTACACCAGTGATTCTCACATGAAGTCACACATTCTGTTTCTGTCGTTGGTTTTACTACTCTTTCTTCGCACTTTCTGTAAAGCAGCAGAAGGTCAACAAACTGCAGACTGACTCAATAATCAGAAAACAGATGGTAGCTTTTCATGCTGACTTCCCCTTCCTTACACTGCAATAACAGTTTTGGTTGGGCTATTATTTCAGGGATGTGTATGTACAGTGCTGCACGTTACATGTAAAGTTACATCCACTTGAACAGTTTGACTGTGTTTGGGGCTTTTGCTGTTAGCTTCCTCTTCCTATCCTGTCAGAGGATCCTCTAACCTGCTGTGCCTGTTGATGAAGCTGCCAGTCAATAGCTGCCAAGTAACAGTACCAAGTAGCTGCTGCCAGCCATATATGGGGAAAATATGGTTCCCTCTCTCTCTCTCCCTTGTGAATTTCTATTTCTCCATTACACCAGCCACCTTCTTAATATTTCACACCAAAATGTCAACCACGATAATAGATTTTTTACGCAATATTCTTGCCCATGAGCCATAAAACAGGAGCAAACCATTTCTTTACACATAAATCCTATGAAAGCATGTTGAATGAGATCTCATAAAATAGGTTTAATCAGATGCTGTCCAGGTACCTGCTTTTAAGATGAAAAAATAAAATTACAAGGTCTTGTTGAGGTGTCAACACAAGCATGCTTTAATGAAAACAAGGCTGGTGAAAGTAATAAAAGCTAAGCTTGGTCCCCTGGCTCTCGGGGAAATAACCCTTTTAAACCAGTAAATACTTCACATTCTCAAAAGTATGAGGAGAGTTTTTATAGTCATGATTAGGAAGTGTAGTTATACTTAAAAAAAAAACCAAAAAAAAACATCAAAACAATTGCAGTCAAGCGGTTTTCATGTGCAGGACAATTTCTTGTGCGAAACAAACTCCCAAAATTATTTCACTGTTGTTAAATGCACAGCAATTATTGTAAAAAGAATTAAATTAAAGGCAGAAAATGAGAGAAAAAATAAACAAGAAGAATTTAGTGTAAGATCATTTTCTTTTGCTTTTTCTGATTATAAATTATGAGGCTGTAGTGCTCTGTGCTAACACACTTGAGTTGGTTGTGTAAGATGACCGGGGCTTGATATGCCTCCCGGTGTTTTGGAATGAGCCTAGTAGCAGCCTCAGCAGTCATCAGCTCTGTGGAGGGGTCTAGAGTTAAGTAATGCAGAAACACATACTCCCTGTGGTAAAGCTCTGTGGTAAAGTTCCAGGGCTAACTGGTCAAGGCTGGGGGTTGAGTTTAGAAATGAATCTTGCTTCAGTATGGAAAGCTTGAGCAAGACATTCATCCTCATATGCCCACATTGACAGATACGTACAGCCAGATTTAAAAAAAAACAACCAAAGAAACAAAACCAAAACACCTCCCCACAAACAGACAAATAAAAAATGGTGACCTATCATATATACAGTACAGTATATAGTCCGTCCACCTTATGCCTTGACAACGGTGCTGATGCTGGTGATTAGGCTGCCATTATAGCTGCTCTCAGTTCCTCTATCCTCATGAAACATGACAGAGTCGCTGGAAAATTCTTTGCAATAATGGGTCTAATTTTGGGGTCTGTCTCTTATTCCTGTATCCACAATTTAATCAACTATTTTGTATTCTTGGGTGATCTTATATTTAGACTAGGTGTTCGTTCTTTTGGCTTTAAACTCTTCACTTGACTCCAGGAGAGCCCTGCACAAGAATTCCTATATGCCTAGACTGTCTGTTTATGCATAAATGGCAAATAAAAATCTTGAATTTTGAATCTTGTGGCTATATAGAAGTGAGTTGCCAGAAATACATATCTCCATTTATAGAAATGCATTCATTATTTAGCCAGTGTAATTCTTACTATTAGCTCCTTAGACAGCTTAATGCAGAGCAAAGTGTGTTGGACATCTCCCATCAGGCTGGATGGATCTGAATTCTGACCCCTTCAGTGGTGAAGAATCATCCTCTGACCTCTCAACTTCCTCATTGAAATAGGAAAATACATAAACTCCCAGAGGGTTTGGAGAAGCTCATCTATTTCCTGATATAACAAAGTGAAACATGGGAAGTTGTAGCTGAAGTCTTTCATTTGGCAGAGAATCAAAGTGGAAGCTTGTGTCTGGGGAAGACATGCACATTGGTGCGCTTAGAACCAAAACACATGGCTGTACAGAGGAAAAGGTGAGGCTTCTCCTCCGACCCAGACAAAAACTCCCGAGACACCTTGAAAGTATCCCAGTATTGTCCTGCAGACTGTCATAACACTCCTGTCTCATGAAAAAAGGATGTGCTGAACTGGCTCAAAATGAGCATTAAAAATACACACCATTATTTTCAGGAACGTCTAATCTGCTAGGAACATCTAGTTTGATCTGCAAATTCTAATGTAACTTTATACACTGAGAAACAGATCACATCTACTGTACAGTATGTCCAGTAGCTTAGTTAATCATTCATAAGAAAATGTTACAACATAATCTGTCATGCAGTTGAGGGGCATAATATGTAAAATGTAATGTAAAAACTGTGCATGGACATAAGCCAGTAACAGGAACAGACTATTTTAACAAATTTTAATTCATACAATAATAAATAAAAATGGTGTGATATAGCTTATGAAATGATCCCTTCTCTAGCGGTAGAATAACATGGCTGGCATCAATATAAGAGTAATCCAGTGAGGGAGGCCCTTCTAAAAATGTCTACTGACATTGCAGGCACTGGCAGTTTGTTTTAATGTTGACGTAATGTTTTTCTCCAACTGACATCCAACCTACATTGCATACAGCAGTGTAAAGAGAAGTCGCTGCATGTAATTTAAACTTACACATTTATGTTGAAACTTTATAATATTTCTACTATTAAGACCTGAATGGATTCTGAAGATGAGGTTTAAAAACTCTTTGGTCTGATATCTCCTTGTTTTCTACAACACATCTCAGTCTATTACAATTCTATGATTTACTGAACTTTCAACATTTATCTTACATAAAATGTAAAATATCTAATGTGCCTTATATTTTCGATCAATGTACGTTACAGTGTTCATCACTGTGCATGGAATGATGCTGAATGTTTATTTGTCTCCTTGTCTTTTACATAATGTTCATGTTCTGTTTCATACTGTACTTTCAGGAGAGCTTGACATCATAAACTTTTTTTTTAACCTCAAGTGGGTTTTTTTTCTTATATGAAATGCAATTAAATCATTGTGTTGCAGTTACATTCAGAAACCTACATTGTTCTTTTGTGTTTGTAACCAAAATTTCTGATTGATTGAGTGTGAGTGTGTTATTCTGTGGTATTCCAGTTGCTCGTGAGGTGCTGTCTCGATTCTACTGCACCATCCGCATGAGCGACTCTCCATCCATCTTGCAAACAAATCACCATTGCTCCCTGGGAGTGGATTCATCCATTCTTATTCAGGGCAAATATGAATTCAGACTCAAGCATTTGTCTTTAATCCACCTTCATTCATTTAACTAAGCTTATTCGCGTTATTAGGTTACTGAAGTTTTCTCAGGACAGCTCCTGAAGCTGTAACATCCAGGTCATATCCTATCTGTTCCAACACCAGATTCAATTTCTCCTGCTGTCTGTATGTCTCTTTCTTTCTCTTTCCTTTAGCCTGTTGCTATGTTTTCTCTAAACCCATAGCTTTGTTTGCTGCTTTATACATTAGGTGT